TTTAACGTTCCCCAGCGCAGCAGCTCTTCCCATGCCAATTCCGGGAAATATTTCTTCAAGGTGCACAGTTCATGAAATACGGATAAGCGGTGATTGGAGGCTAAGCTATCCGTACCAATGCAGATATTTGTTGCCCGCTTTTTGAGCATGGGTACATCCGGCAGTGTATTTTCAATATAACGGTTTGCATTCGGGCAAAGGCACCAGGACAGGGACGGGAACAGCCCTTCCGCAAATAAGACGTCTTCGGCGGGCGTATAGGTATTGTGCACCAGTATCATGGCATGCGATGGGGAGAACGCCGTCAGATAGCTTTGTAATGATGATTTGCCGGACGGCTCAAAAAAGGCAGGATCAATACCAAGACCGGCCAGCAGGTCCAGCACCTTCCCGGTTTTAGCTTTGTAAAATTCATCTTCAGCAAGGCTTTCCTGATTATGGATCGACAGCAGGCTTCCCGGTGCGGCCTCGTTGATCAGCCGGAACAAGGTTGCCGATACGGAATAGGGCGCATGTGGTATGACCGACTGGTGTAATACTTGCTCACTGCTTTCCTGCCCTGCAAAAGCAGCCAACACATCCAGTGAATAATCCAGACGGGCCCGGGCAAACTGTTCGGTAAAACCAATACATTCTACAAAGGTGTGCAGGTGCAATTGGTCCAACAAACGGATGTCCAGCGTCTCCTTGCTATTGGCAATATCCCCTACGGCAATAACGCCGTTATCAACCAGCTCCTTGTAGGCTGCGTGCCGCGCCACCTTTTTTTGTGCATCACTAAAATTATTACGCTGTGCCGGAATGGTTTGGAGGAAGGGGATGAGCCCGGTATGTTCCGGCACCGCTCCTTTCAGATGTGACAGCTCAAGGTGGCAATGTGTGTTTACGAAACCCGGCACCAATATTCCGTGTAGATGCTCTTTATCACCTGTTATACCGGCATCATGTACACCGGCAATAATACCTGCCGTGGTTACTTCAATAACCGACCCGGCTGGCAGCCAGCCCTTACCATCATGAATCTGATCTGCTGTAAACAGCCTGTTCTCCTGTAATCCCATAATAGGATCGAAGGTATTATTATGACGTCAATTTTCAGACAGGACAACGCGGATCGTATGGATGTCAACAAGCTTTGCACTAACAATAAAACAGCCATTAAGACCCGAAAATCCTAATGGCTGTTATAAGAAGTTTTGCTACCCGTTACTCGAGCAGGGTTACATTTCCTTTAAAGTGATCCAAACCGCGCCCTTCAATCTGGGCATCGATCAGGTAAATATAAACGCCCTGGGGTTGCTTTTTGCCATTAAAATTACCATCCCATCCACGTCCGTCCAGGCTCCGGGTTTCAAAAATGACCTGGCCCCAGCGATTGTAGATCTGCATTTTAAAATAAGTAAGACGGCTGCTTAATAACTGGCGGGGGAAGAAGTAATCATTCTTCCCATCATTATTAGGAGAGAACGCGTTAGGAATGTCCAGGTAGCAGGCATTAATGATATTCACACTATCTTCTGCGAAACAGCCTTTATCAGTCGTGTTTCTCAGCCAGTAAGTACCCGGCTGGGATGCCCATATAGATGCGGAAGTCTCACCATTGCTCCACAGGTTGCTGATGCCCGGATTATTGATCCGGTTGAACAGCGGTATGGGCGTTCCGTTGGGACAGATGGA